CTATCTATCTATCTATCTATCTATCTATCTATCTATCTATCTATCTATCTATCTATCTATCTATCTATCTATCTATCTATCTATCTATCTATCTATCTATCTATCTATCTATCTATCTATCTATCTATCTATCTATCTATCTATCTATCTATCTATCTATCTATCTATCTATCTATCTATCTATCTATCTATCTATCTATCTATCTATCTATCTATCTATCTATCTATCTATCTATCTATCTATCTATCTATCTATCTATCTATCTATCTATCTATCTATCTATCTATCTATCTATCTATCTATCTATCTATCTATCTATCTATCTATCTATCTATCTATCTATCTATCTATCTATCTATCTATCTATCTATCTATCTATCTATCTATCTATCTATCTATCTATCTATCTATCTATCTATCTATCTATCTATCTATCTATCTATCTATCTATCTATCTATCTATCTATCTATCTATCTATCTATCTATCTATCTATCTATCTATCTATCTATCTATCTATCTATCTATCTATCTATCTATCTATCTATCTATCTATCTATCTATCTATCTATCTATCTATCTATCTATCTATCTATCTATCTATCTATCTATCTATCTATCTATCTATCTATCTATCTATCTATCTATCTATCTATCTATCTATCTATCTATCTATCTATCTATCTATCTATCTATCTATCTATCTATCTATCTATCTATCTATCTATCTATCTATCTATCTATCTATCTATCTATCTATCTATCTATCTATCTATCTATCTATCTATCTATCTATCTATCTATCTATCTATCTATCTATCTATCTATCTATCTATCTATCTATCTATCTATCTATCTATCTATCTATCTATCTATCTATCTATCTATCTATCTATCTATCTATCTATCTATCTATCTATCTATCTATCTATCTATCTATCTATCTATCTATCTATCTATCTATCTATCTATCTATCTATCTATCTATCTATCTATCTATCTATCTATCTATCTATCTATCTATCTATCTATCTATCTATCTATCTATCTATCTATCTATCTATCTATCTATCTATCTATCTATCTATCTATCTATCTATCTATCTATCTATCTATCTATCTATCTATCTATCTATCTATCTATCTATCTATCTATCTATCTATCTATCTATCTATCTATCTATCTATCTATCTATCTATCTATCTATCTATCTATCTATCTATCTATCTATCTATCTATCTATCTATCTATCTATCTATCTATCTATCTATCTATCTATCTATCTATCTATCTATCTATCTATCTATCTATCTATCTATCTATCTATCTATCTATCTATCTATCTATCTATCTATCTATCTATCTATCTATCTATCTATCTATCTATCTATCTATCTATCTATCTATCTATCTATCTATCTATCTATCTATCTATCTATCTATCTATCTATCTATCTATCTATCTATCTATCTATCTATCTATCTATCTATCTATCTATCTATCTATCTATCTATCTATCTATCTATCTATCTATCTATCTATCTATCTATCTATCTATCTATCTATCTATCTATCTATCTATCTATCTATCTATCTATCTATCTATCTATCTATCTATCTATCTATCTATCTATCTATCTATCTATCTATCTATCTATCTATCTATCTATCTATCTATCTATCTATCTATCTATCTATCTATCTATCTATCTATCTATCTATCTATCTATCTATCTATCTATCTATCTATCTATCTATCTATCTATCTATCTATCTATCTATCTATCTATCTATCTATCTATCTATCTATCTATCTATCTATCTATCTATCTATCTATCTATCTATCTATCTATCTATCTATCTATCTATCTATCTATCTATCTATCTATCTATCTATCTATCTATCTATCTATCTATCTATCTATCTATCTATCTATCTATCTATCTATCTATCTATCTATCTATCTATCTATCTATCTATCTATCTATCTATCTATCTATCTATCTATCTATCTATCTATCTATATCTATCTATCTATCTATCTATCTATCTATCTATCTATCTATCTATCTATCTATCTATCTATCTATCTATCTATCTATCTATCTATCTATCTATCTATCTATCTATCTATCTATCTATCTATCTATCTATCTATCTATCTATCTATCTATCTATCTATCTATCTATCTATCTATCTATCTATCTATCTATCTATCTATCTATCTATCTATCTATCTATCTATCTATCTATCTATCTCTATCTATCTATCTATCTATCTATCTATCTATCTATCTATCTATCTATCTATCTATCTATCTATCTATCTATCTATCTATCTATCTATCTATCTATCTATCTATCTATCTATCTATCTATCTATCTATCTATCTATCTATCTATCTATCTATCTATCTATCTATCTATCTATCTATCTATCTATCTATCTATCTATCTATCTATCTATCTATCTATCTATCTATCTATCTATCTATCTATCTATCTATCTATCTATCTATCTATCTATCTATCTATCTATCTATCTATCTATCTATCTATCTATCTATCTATCTATCTATCTATCTATCTATCTATCTATCTATCTATCTATCTATCTATCTATCTATCTATCTATCTATCTATCTATCTATCTATCTATCTATCTATCTATCTATCTATCTATCTATCTATCTATCTATCTATCTATCTATCTATCTATCTATCTATCTATCTATCTATCTATCTATCTATCTATCTATCTATCTATCTATCTATCTATCTATCTATCTATCTATCTATCTATCTATCTATCTATCTATCTATCTATCTATCTATCTATCTATCTATCTATCTATCTATCTATCTATCTATCTATCTATCTATCTATCTATCTATCTATCTATCTATCTATCTATCTATCTATCTATCTATCTATCTATCTATCTATCTATCTATCTATCTATCTATCTATCTATCTATCTATCTATCTATCTATCTATCTATCTATCTATCTATCTATCTATCTATCTATCTATCTATCTATCTATCTATCTATCTATCTATCTATCTATCTATCTATCTATCTATCTATCTATCTATCTATCTATCTATCTATCTATCTATCTATCTATCTATCTATCTATCTATCTATCTATCTATCTATCTATCTATCTATCTATCTATCTATCTATCTATCTATCTATCTATCTATCTATCTATCTATCTATCTATCTATCTATCTATCTATCTATCTATCTATCTATCTATCTATCTATCTATCTATCTATCTATCTATCTATCTATCTATCTATCTATCTATCTATCTATCTATCTATCTATCTATCTATCTATCTATCTATCTATCTATCTATCTATCTATCTATCTATCTATCTATCTATCTATCTATCTATCTATCTATCTATCTATCTATCTATCTATCTATCTATCTATCTATCTATCTATCTATCTATCTATCTATCTATCTATCTATCTATCTATCTATCTATCTATCTATCTATCTATCTATCTATCTATCTATCTATCTATCTATCTATCTATCTATCTATCTATCTATCTATCTATCTATCTATCTATCTATCTATCTATCTATCTATCTATCTATCTATCTATCTATCTATCTATCTTATCTATCTATCTATCTATCTATCTATCTATCTATCTATCTATCTATCTATCTATCTATCTATCTATCTATCTATCTATCTATCTATCTATCTATCTATCTATCTATCTATCTATCTATCTATCTATCTATCTATCTATCTATCTATCTATCTATCTATCTATCTATCTATCTATCTATCTATCTATCTATCTATCTATCTATCTATCTATCTATCTATCTATCTATCTATCTATCTATCTATCTATCTATCTATCTATCTATCTATCTATCTATCTATCTATCTATCTATCTATCTATCTATCTATCTATCTATCTATCTATCTATCTATCTATCTATCTATCTATCTATCTATCTATCTATCTATCTATCTATCTATCTATCTATCTATCTATCTATCTATCTATCTATCTATCTATCTATCTATCTATCTATCTATCTATCTATCTATCTATCTATCTATCTATCTATCTATCTATCTATCTATCTATCTATCTATCTATCTATCTATCTATCTATCTATCTATCTATCTATCTATCTATCTATCTATCTATCTATCTATCTATCTATCTATCTATCTATCTATCTATCTATCTATCTATCTATCTATCTATCTATCTATCTATCTATCTATCTATCTATCTATCTATCTATCTATCTATCTATCTATCTATCTATCTATCTATCTATCTATCTATCTATCTATCTATCTATCTATCTATCTATCTATCTATCTATCTATCTATCTATCTATCTATCTATCTATCTATCTATCTATCTATCTATCTATCTATCTATCTATCTATCTATCTATCTATCTATCTATCTATCTATCTATCTATCTATCTATCTATCTATCTATCTATCTATCTATCTATCTATCTATCTATCTATCTATCTATCTATCTATCTATCTATCTATCTATCTATCTATCTATCTATCTATCTATCTATCTATCTATCTATCTATCTATCTATCTATCTATCTATCTATCTATCTATCTATCTATCTATCTATCTATCTATCTATCTATCTATCTATCTATCTATCTATCTATCTATCTATCTATCTATCTATCTATCTATCTATCTATCTATCTATCTATCTATCTATCTATCTATCTATCTATCTATCTATCTATCTATCTATCTATCTATATATATATATATATATATATATATATATATATATATATATATATATAGATATTAGTTCCTCTTAAAATACCTGTTACATCTCAATTTTTTTCATAAGAGAATCGGGGCTTTTTAATTTGATGCCCGCACCCGTATCCACATATTATATTATATATACTTGTTGCATCCACATATAACATCATATATACTTATTATATTATCATAACCCTAACCGTGACCCCAGCCCTGTTGCCATTACTTACTTGCGCGTCAAAGTATTTCCCCACGACAAAATGTTTATCAACGGGAAAATCCATTCGTATGTAGGCGGGGGGCGAGACCGTTCCCCGGTGGCACCGTAGGAGCAGCAACAGTACCGATGCGCATGCGTAGGTGACGGCGGCGTTCATTGTGGAGACGCCCGTGTACTCGTCCAACAGCACCCAGACGCACCGCCACTGGTTGACGCAGGCTAGGCCCATGACGTAGCTGAACAGCTGCATCATGATCTGGCGCGTAATGGCGCGTCGTCTGACGGTGAATGAGGTTAAGGTGTCTTGAAATAACGACGCCAGGAAGAAAATGGTGTAGCCGGCAGCCCCTGATATCCAGGCAGACACGACCGGGTCTTTAGGGAAGAAATAATGTTCTGGAATATGCCATGTGTTGCACCAGTACACCGTTACCAGAGGCCCCACCCAAAGGTACGCCAACGCAAAGTCTAGAAACTTCCAGTAAAATATTGAGCACTCGTATTTTTCTACATCTTGCGACGCAATGTCTGATTTTGATTTTTCTTTTTTTAACGCATTTGGTTCAAAGTCTTCCACATTCTCGCTTGGTAAATCTGTCTTTTTGTTTTCTTTGTCTAATTCATACAGAACATTAGCTCTAAGACAGTTGCCTTTTGGTGGTTTTCTAAGCGGGGAGAGTTCCGATGATTTCACAACAGAATCTGAAGGATTGGCTGAGCCAAAGGATTCATAAAAAGGTGTTTGGTAGGACAAAAAATGCCCTTCGCTTACTTCATCACTTGTCGGCACTACTTGATATTTTGTAGCCGTCTTAACCGGCATTTTCCGGTCGAATTCAGTCTTCTCCACGTACGAACACAAACCGTCGCTGGGTGTGAAAGATACCCGGTTTCTCACTTTCTTATCGGTCCTGTGTCTTGGGCCAAAAATGACATCCCCGAATTTGTTTCTGTGACTCGCAAGAAAGAACGACGGTACGGGGTAGGTCAGGTAGGTAGATGAAGGCAAATTGTTTTTGACTAAACACGAAAAACCAAAACCATTTTTATCCGAAGAATTTGTATTATCGCCTGTAGAGTTGAAATCTGCTTTGTTTATAGAGGTACATCTTTGTGTGGTTATACATTTTTGTTGGGTAAATAGACCCCCAGCTTGAAGCTGACGACTCACCGGTGTATTAGTCACTTTTAACACCATTTTAAAATGTTCACGATTATCGTCCTCAAGAAATATTTCTTGATGCGGATAAGAAAACGGTCTGTAATTTAAATTGCATTTTTCTTCTACAGAAACAGCAAATACTGTATCACAATTTTTAATATCGTGTACTTTATTTTTATATAATTCAAAATTTCTGTTATCTTGTAGTGAAACAATATCTTTTTTCGTAGGGGAGCCGCACCGGTAAGTTACGGAGGTGGGATTAAATTTAACAGCGTCATAAGCTGTGTCTACACCGGAGTCTTGAGACAGCTCAAGAGGTTTCGTAATGTCGTCACAAACTGGACCATCGTTTGATGATGCCATCCTAGTTATCAGATGAAATTCTTCACATCCACGACAGCTCCACTTAATGACTGGGAATTATCACAGTGTCAGCGTTCTGAATTAATCAGTCCTGATTTTTAAAAAATGATTCTTTTAAAATTTCTCCTATGTCACTGTAGGGAATACTTGCAGTTAAAGTCAACATATCGGATACTAATAATAGGAAAAATAATTCGAAAAACCAGCTTTTATACTTTCTTTAGTGCAATTGCAAGTTCTGAAAATAAAATATTTAGAAAGTAAACATTAAAACAAGCTATTTCTAGCTAAAAATAACCAAGGGGTATTCTCTCTCCCCCCCCTATTGAGGGAGGTGAGGTGATTTCTGTTCCCTTATGACCAGAGTTTCTTCCAGGCATATCTTCCAGTCTACCCCCCCCCCGAACGAAATGAAATTTTTATAGAAAATATATACTTTTAACATTGTCCGCCCCCCCCCCCCCCCCGAAGAAAGTCTACCGCCCCCCCCCGAAAATTTCAAGTGCCCCCCCCCCCCCCGGAGAAAAAACTCTGGAAGATACAATACTTACGACTCTCACCCCACTCGCACCATGCCTAGTTACTGAAAGATTATGTAACGGCCAGTTTTCTAACAGTGAATTCAAGAAAGTTGAATCGGCTGATAAAATGTTTTGTATCGCCCGAGTTTCGTTTTGAGCGTGACGACGACTTAAAACTTACGGGGTGAGGGGGGGGGGGGGCGCTTGAAGCGTAAAACATACAAACAAAGGGTGCACACAAAATTTCTGGGGGGTAAGGGGCGGGGGTGGTGGTAGGGGGGGGGGGCGGACACTGGTTAAAAGTATACATTTTCTATTTAAATGATATACTTTTGCGATTCCGTAAGGTGGGGGGGGGGGGTGGGGGTTGGGGGTTGCTTTGGTCACAGAAACCCCTAAATCAAATCTTACCTTAACCAACCAGACAATCCCTACATCAAATCTTACCTTAACCAACCAGACAACCCCTAAATCAAATCTTACCTTAACCAACCAGACAACCCCTAAATCAAATCTTACCTTAACCAACCCAGACAATCCCTACATCAAATCTTACCTTAACCAACCAGACAACCCCTAAATCAAATCTTACCTTAACCAACCAGACAACCCCTAAATCAAATCTTACCTTAACCAACCAGACAACCCCTAAATCAAATCTTACCTTAACCAACCCAGAAAACCCCTACATCAAATCTTACCTTAACCAACCAGACAACCCCTAAATCAAATCTTACCTTAACCAACCAGACAACCCCTAAATCAAATCTTACCTTAACCAACCAGACAACCCCTAAATCAAATCTTACCTTAACCAACCAGACAATCCCTAAATCAAATCTTACCTTAACCAACCAGACAACCCCTAAATCAAATCTTACCTTAACCAACCAGACAACCCCTAAATCAAATCTTACCTTAACCAACCAGACAACCCCTAAATCAAATCTTACCTTAACCAACCAGACAACCCCTAAATCAAATCTTACCTTAACCAAACCAGACAACCCCTAAATCAAATCTTACCTTAACCAACCAGACAACCCCTAAATCAAATCTTACCTTAACCAACCAGACAACCCCTAAATCAAATCTTACCGTAACCAACCAGACAACCCCTAAATCAAATCTTACCTTAACCAACCAGACAACCCCTAAATCAAATCTTACCTTAACCAAACCAGACAACCCCTAAATCAAATCTTACCTTAACCAACCAGACAACCCCTAAATCAAATCTTACCTTAACCAACCAGACAACCCCTAAATCAAATCTTACCTTAACCAACCCAGACAACCCCTACATCAAATCTTACCTTAACCAACCAGACAACCCCTAAATCAAATCTTACCTTAACCAACCAGACAACCCCTAAATCAAATCTTACCTTAACCAACCAGACAACCCCTAAATCAAATCTTACCTTAACCAACCAGACAACCCCTAAATCAAATCTTACCTTAACCAACCATACAAACACTAAATCAAACCTTACCTTAACCAACCAGACAACCCCTAAATCAAATTTTACCTTAACCAACCAGACAACCCCTACATCAAATCTTACCTTAACCAACCAGACAACCCCTAAATCAAATCTTACCTTAACCAACCAGACAACCCCTAAATCAAATCTTACCTTAACCAACCAGACAATCCCTACATCAAATCTTACCTTAACCAACCAGACAACCCCTAAATCAAATCTTACCTTAACCAACCAGACAACCCCTAAATCAAATCTTACCTTAACTAACCCAGACAACCCCTAAATCAAATCTTACCTTAACCAACCAGACAACCCCTAAATCAAATCTTACCTTAACCAACCAGACAACCCCTAAATCAAATCTTACCTTAACCAACCAGACAACCCCTAAATCAAATCTTACCTTAACCAACCAGACAACCCCTAAATCAAATCTTACCTTAACCAAACCAGACAACCCCTAAATCAAATCTTACCTTAACCAACCAGACAACCCCTAAATCAAATCTTACCTTAACCAACCAGACAACCCCTAAATCAAATCTTACCGTAACCAACCAGACAACCCCTAAATCAAATCTTACCTTAACCAACCAGACAACCCCTAAATCAAATCTTACCTTAACCAAACCAGACAACCCCTAAATCAAATCTTACCTTAACCAACCAGACAACCACTAAATCAAATCTTACCTTAACCAACCAGACAACCCCTAAATCAAATCTTACCTTAACCAACCAGACAACCCCTAAATCAAATCTTACCTTAACCAACCCAGACAACCCCTACATCAAATCTTACCTTAACCAACCAGACAACCCCTAAATCAAATCTTACCATAACTAAGACTACTTATCGAACACCAATATAAACATAAAAAAATATAATACTATAATACTAACCATAGCATAAAAAAAGCTACCATAATCGATTTCGAGTCAACAGCTTAAAAAGGTGGCATAATATTCAGCTGGTCTTATCTGAAATACGTCATTAATTAACAGCAACTAATTCGCACGTGTCACACCGCCACATAATTTAATAACAGTGCAGGAAAAAATATAATTAATTAAAAATACGTCCTCGGGATCATATGTTTTAGTGCATCCATTTCATAAACAACAGTAGTTGACATATCGTTGTTTTGCCATTTGGTACTCTTGTGCTTACAAAACTGCAATCAAAGTGTGCTTAAAAAACAACAACAACAACTTTGAATAAAATAATTATGCGAAAAACGGACATAAAAATCATATGAAATTTAATTAAAAAAAGATAAAATCGACTAAAATCATACTAAATACTTTAAATAATTCACAGTTAGATATTGTGTCTGAGATAATTAGTCTGAAATTATATCTTTTGTCCATGAGGTCATTTGTCCTCAAGAGTTTCTTCCAGGCATCCGAAGAAAGTCTACCGCCCATCCCCCCTCCCCCGAACGAAATGGAATTTATATAGAAAATATATACTTTTAAAAGTGTCCCCCCCCCGGAAAATGTTGACCGCCCGCGAAAATATCTAGTGCCCCCCCCCCCCAGGAGAAAAAAGCCTGGGAGAAGCACTGTTTGTCCCGTCACCCAGCTGTCTTACTATAAATCACCGCTACATCTATTGACTACAATGTATATATATATATATATATATATATATATATATATATATATATATATATATATATATATATATATATAGGCTTACATATGAATAAACATGTACACAAGTAACACATATACATAAAACACAACAATACCCTAGATTTACATTGTGTGAGCAGACATTTCTGAACTTGTAAAATCACACAAAAATATACTTGACCTACGATTGTGAAGACAAAAATAGCTAGTCGTCCATTATTAAATAGTCGGTGAAAGTGCCGTAGTGGTCTGTACCAAAACTGTTTTGAAATGTAAATGTGTGCATTTTTCTGACTTGCAAAACTTCATCGCCTCGCGTATGACAGATGCCAGTTTTTAAAATAAAGCAAATGAAATCTAACAAAATAATAGGCTATCCACGAATGAACAAGCAACACTATTCTAACTTTAGATCAAGTAAGGAATTTTGTAAAAAAGGAGACAAAGTAGCTTTGACACAATAAACACTGTTTACAATTTAATTTTTTTTATTTACTTAGGCCTAGGTCGATGATGTCCCATTACAGGTCAACTTTCATTACAGGTCAAGACTCATTAAGGCTAAGTTTCATTACAGGTGAAGTACCATCACATGTCGTCTCATTAAGGTCGTCTCATTACATGTCAATTAAAGTAGATTGAACTGCAGTAATTCATAAAAAAGCCGCCCCCCCCCCCTCACCAAAGTATATATATTTTAAAGTTATTTACTTTTTTGTGTTTGTATTTTACTCGTGAAATATTACAGTGTTTAATTACTAACATAAAAAATATTTAAGTTTAAATAAAACTTGCTGGTCGTTAAAATGTATTAAAAGAATTTCTTGAACAGCCAACACATTTTACCATCATTGAAAATAATATTTTCAAACAAATACAGAACACAGATCGAGTGTTAGAGAAATGGAAACAAAATATTTTTCAGATTAAAATTTTTTTTTTTTAAATCCGGTCGATCGACAGGCTTTCTGCTCGTATTCTAATTTTAGTTTGAGTAATTAATTAATCAATTAATTGGACGGCGTGGCTTAGCAGTAGAGCGCTAGACTAATAAATCGAAATGCTCGAGTTCGAATCCGGGTTAAATTCAATGGAGCGTCCATGAGTCAACCCAGCTCTGATGGGTACCTAACTTACGTTAAGGAAAGTAAAAGCGGCTGGGCTTAGTGCTGACCACATTATCCCTTCATACGCCGAAGTGAAGAAACATGAACTGTACTTTATCTGCCCAACGGATCACTAGCTCTAAAGAGGATTCTTTACTTTAATTACTAATTAAAAAGCAATAGTACTGTTCATTCCCAGCATTGGCACCCTTAGTGACGAATACTAGCATGTAAACAAATACTGATATTTTCAATGACAACGTTAGGGCTAGTGATAGGTTTTAGGTTTGGGTTTGGTTTTAGTGGGTGGGGGAGGGGGGA